GGCGATTTTGGTCACTCACCAGTCCCTCCGGAGCCGTTTCTGGGGCGGGCTCAGCTCGTGCCGGGCCGGCGAGAAGCGCTCCCGCCGGCTCCGCTCGTAGTCCCGGTAATCCCGACTGCGCCGCTCCCGGCCCCGCTCCCAGTCCCTGCAACCGATCCGACTGGGACGGACTGGGACAAACTGGGAACCCCGGGACAGGGACTGGGACGGACTGGGAGGGACTGGGAGGGACTGGGATGGACTGGGAGGGACTGGGAACCCCGGGGGAGGGACTGGGACAAACTGGGAGGGACTGGGAGGGACTGGGATGGACTGGGAGGGAACTGGGATGGACTGGGAGGGACTGGGAACCCCGGGGGAGGGACTGGGACAAACTGGGAACCCCGGGGGAGGGACTGGGACGGACTGGGAGGGACTGGGAACCCCGGGGGAGGGACTGGGACAAACTGGGAGGGACTGGGAACCCCGGAACAGGGACTGGGAGGGACTGGGAGGGACTGGGAGGGACTGGGAACCCCGGGGGAGGGACTGGGACGGACTGGGACAAACTGGGACGGACTGGGAACCCCGGGGGAGGGACTGGGACGGACTGGGACAAACTGGGAACCCCAGGGGAGGGACTGGGACGGACTGGGACAAACTGGGAGGGACTTGGAGGGAACTGGGACAAACTGGGAGGGACTGGGAGGGACTGGGATGGACTGGGAGGGAACTGGGATGGACTGGGAGGGAACTGGGAGGGACTGGGGGGGACTGGGATGGACTGGGAACCCCAGGGGAGGGACTGGGATAAACTGGGAGGGACTGGGAACCCCGGGGGAGGGACTGGGAGGGACTGGGAGGGACTGGGAGGGACTGGGACAAACTGGGATGGACTGGGAACCCCCCAGGGCCTGAACTGGGATTAACTGGGAGCCCGGGACCCCTCCCAGTCCCTCCCCGGTCACTCCCAGTTTATCCCAGTCCCTCAGGGGTCACTCAGGGGTCCCTCACTGGTCACTCAGGGTCACTCACTGGTCACTCAGGGTCACTCATTGGTCACTCACTGGTCACTCATTGGTCACTCAGTGGTCACTCAGTGGTCACTCACTGGTCACTCAGGGTCACTCACTGGTCACTCAGGGGTCACTCAGGGGTCACTGGTCACTCATTGGTCACTCACCGGTCACTCATTGGTCACTCACTGGTCACTCACCGGTCACTCCACTCGTCCCGTCTCCTCTCCTCGCGCTCCCGGGATCTCTCGTAGTCGCTGCCCATCCCCCCAGTCCCTCACTGGTCACTCATTGGTCACTCAGGGTCACTCACCGGTCACTCACTGGTCACTCACTGGTCACTGGTCACTCAGGGTCACTCACCGGTCACTCACCGGTCACTCACTGGTCACTCACCGGTCACTCAGGGTCACTGGTCACTCATTGGTCACTCACCGGTCACTCAGGGTCACTGGTCACTCACTGGTCACTCACCGGTCACTCCACTCGTCCCGCCTCCTCTCCTCGCGCTCCCGGGATCTCTCGTAGTCGCTGCGCTCCCGCCGGAATTTGTCCCGGCGCCGCCGGTCGTACTCGTCGTCGCTGTCGCCCATCCCGGGGTCACCGCGGGGTCACCGCGAGGTCACCGCGGGGTCACAGGGGTCACCACGGGGTCACCGAGGGGTCACAGGGGTCACCACAGGGTCGGCGAAGGGTCACTGAGGTCACTGCAGGGGCACCGAGTCACCCAAAGGGAGCCCAGGGTGACCCCAGGGTGACCCCTGACCCCCAGGGTGACCCCAGGGTGACCCCTGACCCCCCAGGGACCCCCAGAGTGACCCCAGGGTGACCCCTGACCCACAATGGGACCCCCAAAGTGATCCCCCAGTGACCCCTGATCCCCCCAGGGACCCCCAGTGACCCCAGGGTGACCCCTGACCCCCAGAGTGACCCCAGGGTGACCCCTGACCCAC